TCCTCCTCCTCCTCCTCCTCCTCCTCCTCCTCCTCCTCCTCCTCCTCGTCCTCCTTCTCCTCCACCTCCTCCTCCTCCGCCTCTTCTTCCGCCTCCTCCTCCTCCTCCTCCTCCTGACGACCGCGACCGGGCGCTGCGGGTATGTCTTGATGTGCTCGCCGCCCGTGGGCTCCCAGCGGGGTGGGGGGGCGCGGGCTCGGGCCGAGACACCTTGCTATGGGTCTGCGAGGGTAGAGGCCTCCTACAGGGCAGTTTTTAATACATGGGATGTTTAAACGTATAAGTTTTGTCATACATGATGAATTATTGGATAAATTCATGCATGAACTCATCGATGTTTTCAATACTAAACCCCTGCATGTTTAACACATGATCCGCACGCGGGGCATGTAAAAACAACGGCACTGTACATGGGGTCCGAATGGACGGGGTCGGAGGATGTCGCCGCATCGCCGATGCATCGGCGATGCATCGGCGGTGCAATGGCGACGTCGGCGGCGCATCGGCGACGTCGGCGTGGAGAACATTGGGCCCCACATCGAGCCGCATCGCCGATGCATCGCCGATGCATCGGCATCGGCGATGCGGCGCGATTCTCCGACCCAATCTACTCCGACCCCATCTAGGAGACCTACGTCAGGTTCGTGTCGTGCCGACTTCGGCGTTGGTTTCTGACACCGCGGGGATCGTTCAACCTTGAACGATCGGCCGTTCCCGAAACGTCCAAATCGTTCCACATCGAACGATTCTGTGTCGCCCGCGGCGTTCAAAATTGGACGCCGCTGGCAGGGTCGCCTCCGGTCGACACGACACTAACCTACCGTAGAGAGGGAGGGTCGGAATCCGCCGAAGGAGGGTGGCCTTGAGGGGGGCACGAAATCGATGCTTTGGTGCACCGACCTGCCGCAAACAGATGCCCCCCGCATGCCCCACCCATCGGCAACCATCGGGAGCTGCCAGCGGCTGGAGAGCCTCTGTTTTGAGAGGCTCGGTGCAAAAGCCGATCGAATTCAAACACACCCCGTGGCACACACACACACACACACACACACAAGCACCCTCTGCGGGATCCCGAACGGAGGATCCGAGTGGATCAGAGCGAGGCGACCGCCGATTTTGGAAGACGAATAGCACATAGTCAAACAATCATCAACAATAGTCAAAAGAGCACGAAACATCGGCGCCAGACGAATGCTTTACTATTCTGGAATATTCCTCCTGTAGAGTGACATGCCCGACGTAATTCTACACCCCACCTCTCGGCCGTGCGCCCTCCTCAGCTCGGGGCGGGCAGGAGCGCATCACAGCATCTCCCGTTGTGGCGGCACGAAGGGCTGCAGGTGGGACCCTTCTGCGAGTGAGACAGGCAAGGCCGGATGCTCTCCAGATGATCTCCCACGTCTTTGTAGGGGGCCTGCGTTCGCTCGAGAGCCACCGATCGTCTATAGTAATGTGCACGGGGGCGCACTGTGGACGCGCAGGGAGCTACGTCCTTTTGGGCGCAGTCTCCGCGCACCTCTGGGATCAGACTGTGTTAGGGGACTGCGCTCCCTGGAGGCCTCTGGTGTATCTCGCCTCACTTGGGCGGCAGCGGCGAAGGGCACCCTGGAGCTGGGAGGCAATGGTAAAGGGAAGTAGCGCCCATGCTGCTGTTCAGTATTCGGCGCTTTTTAGCTCTCGCCCGCACCCACGGAGGAAGGCACCGTTCCCTATGCAGCCACTGACGGCGGGCGCTTCCTTCTCCTTGGGAACCTTTTCGGAGCCTCTCGGGGTTTCTTTTCGGCCTCCTGGGGGCTTGTGGGGGCCCACTTGGACCGTCTTGCAGCCTCCTGGGGGCCTCTTGGGGCCCTCTCGGGCTATCTTGGGTGCCCCTTGGGCCGTCTTGGGGCCGTCTGCGGCCGTCTTGGACGCCTCTGGGGCCGGCTTGGGGCCATCTTGGGGCCGTCTTGGGCCGTCTTTGGCCGCTCTCGGGGCTGCCTTGGGTGACTCTTTGGCTGTCGTGGGCGCCTCAGGAGCGGTTCTGGGGCCGTCTTGGGCCGTCCTGGGGCCGTATTTGGCTGTCTTGGGGCCCTCCTGGGGCGCTCCTGAGGCGTCTTGGGGCGATCTTGTAGGCGTGAGCTGTCCTTTTGGACGCTGCGAAAACGAAAAGCACGGGAATTGCAAACATGTACGTTTTCCCTCGGGATTGGGACGGTTTTTCCTTGTTCGGGCTCTCTTGGGGCTCGTCTTGGAGCCCACTTGGAGTGACTCGGGAGGCCTCTAGGGTCGTCGGGAGGCTATCTTGGGCGTCTTGGAGCGCTCTTGGATATTTCCGGAGACCCCATTGGGCCGTCTTGGGCCGTCTTGGGGCCCTCGTGAAGGCCTCTGGGGGCGTCTCGGAGCGCGCCGGGGCCTGCTGGGGCTCGCAGGTGCCTGCTACGCCGTTTTGGTCCGAATCGCCTTCTTCACACGCGCGGGGCCCTGCATTGTAGTATAGATTTCAGTGGGCTCCAGGTTCTCCTTCCTCATCTCGTTTAATAGCACCAGCGCCCACTGCCACTGCACGCCCTTCGCGCAGGCGCTGATCCCAGCGTTGTAGCTGACTATTGTGTATCTGTGCTTGCTGCCGGTGACCGCTGGAGGGGGCCCGTCCAAGGCGACTGCTCGACCCATTTGGCAGTATGACAGAGATGACGTTGGGCAACACCTTCGCCTCCCACATCTCGCTAAGCAGCACCAGCGCCCGCCGCCACTGCTCGCCCCTCTCGCACGCGCTGATCCCAGCGCTGTAGCTGACTAGGGCTGACCCGTGGACTCCGTCCACGACATCTTTCTGGAATGGTTCTCGGAGGAACGGCGGAAATGTTGCCGAAAACCTGTAAGCATGGCGGCGGCCAGGGCGGTGGCAGCGAGAATGCACCCTCGTGTCCGAGCTCTCGCCGCGCTCCAGCAGCTTGGCAGTCGCGGGGACGCCGTCGTCGCCGCCATCGTCAGCGTCGTCGTTGTCGTCGCCGCAGTGAGGCCGCCGTTGTACCCGTCGCACTCGGCGTCGTTGTCGTGGTGGTGGTGGTCGTCGTCGTGGGTTGTGGGCACCGGAATGAGGCTGGCGACGTCGGTAGGGCTGACCCGCGGACTCTGGCCACGAAATTTGCACGAACTGGCATCTGGTTGCGGGGTCCGACCTCACATTCCGCACATGCTATTGCGTGCTGCTGCTTGCTGCCGCTTTTGCGTACTGTTGGCAGTGCTTGAGGCCGCTGCTGCGTGTTCTTGCTGATTGTGGCTGCAGGTTGTTGCTGCTGGCCAATTCCGCTTGGTGCGTGCTTCTACCCGCTGCCTGCCGCTGCTTGCTGCTGGTGTGTGCCGCCGCTGCTGCTGTCTGCGTCGTGCCCACGAAAAAGATCGATGCTGCCCCAGGGCACTCGGAATGTCGCACGGTGGACTGTGCATGGGAGCTCACTGTGGACGCGCAGGGAGCCACGTACTTTTGGGTGCCGTCTCCACGCCCCTCTGGGATCAACCTGTGTTGGGGATTGCGCTGCCTGGAGCCTCAGGTGTATCTCGCGTCAATTGGGCGGCAGCTGCGAAGGGCGGCCTGGAGCTGGGAGGCAATAGTAAAGAGAAGTCGTGCCCATGTTGCTGTTCATTCTTCGGCGAACTTTCGCTCGCGCCCGCACCCACGGAGGAGGGCAACGCTCCCTAAACGGCCACTGATGGCGGGCGCTCCCTTCTCCTTGGGAACCGTTTGGGGGCCTGTCGGGGTTTCTTGTCAGCCTTCTGGGGGCCTCTTGGGGCCCCCTTGGACTGTCTTGCGGCTTCCTGGGAGCCTCTTGGGCTGTCTTGGGTGTTGGGCCGCCTTGGGGCCGTCTGAGGCCGTCTTGGACGCCTTTGGAACTGGCTTGGGGCCGTCTTGGGCCGTCTTTGGCCGCTCTTGGGGCTGCCTTGGGTGCCTCTTGGGCCGTCGTGGGCGACTCAGTAGCAGTCATGTGGCCGTCTTGGGCCGTCCTGGGGCCGTATTGGGTCGTCTTGGGGCCCTCTTGGGGGCGGCTTGGGTCGTCTTGGGGGGTTTAGGGGGGGCCTCTTGGCCTGTCCTGGACCGTGTAACAACGCAAAAAGCGGACATGCTGAACATGTACGCTTTCCCATCGGAGTGTGACGATTTGTTTCTCTTTGGCGTCCTCTCGGGCCCTCTCTTGGGGCGTCTTGGAGCCACCTTCTGAATTTTTCCCAACCAACCTGTGTTGTTGGGTCCTCGTTTTGAAGAGACGGTGCCCGCGTCTTCTCCTCCTCCTCTTCCCCCTCCTCCCTCCTCCCCCTCCTTGCCTCTGCTCTCGGCACACCTCTCACGCGTTTCGTAGCCCCATAGGGAGCTCCACCGAAGGCCCCAGTGGGGGTGTTCGCATGCGGTTCCCCCACCCAGGGCAGCGTTTCGTGGCCCCATAGGGAGCTCCACCGAAGGCCCCAGTGGGGGTGTTCGCATGCGGTTCCCCCACCCAGGGCAGCGTTTCGTAGCCCCATAGGGAGCTCCACCGAAGGCCCCAGTGGGGGTGTCCACATGCGGTTCCCCCACCCAGGGCAGCGTTTCGCCCCATATAGGGTGGTGTCCACATGCGGTTCCCCCACCCAGGGCAGCGTTTCGTGGCCCCATAGGGAGCTCCACCGAAGGCCCCAGTGGGGGTGTCCACATGCGGTTCCCCCACCAGGGCAGCGCTTTGTGGCCCCATGGGGAGCTCCACCGAAGGCCCCAGTGGGGGTGTCCACATGCGGTTCCCCCACCCAGGGCAGCGTTTCGTGGCCCCATAGGGAGCTCCACCGAAGGCCCCAGTGGGGGTGTCCACATGCGGTTCCCCCACCAGGGCAGCGTTTCGTAGCCCCATAGGGAGCTCCACCGAAGGCCCCAGTGGGGGTGTCCACATGCGGTTCCCCCACCCAGGGCAGCGTTTCGTGGCCCCAGCTCCACCGGGCACAGCCCACCATGGGGTTCCGTCCACATGCGGTTCCCCCACCCAGGGCAGCGTTTCGTAGCCCCATAGGGAGCTCCACCGAAGGCCCCAGTGGGGGTGTTCGCATGCGGTTCCCCCACCCAGGGCAGCGTTTCGTGGCCCCATAGGGAGCTCCACCGAAGGCCCCAGTGGGGGTGTTCGCATGCGGTTCCCCCACCCAGGGCAGCGTTTCGTAGCCCCATAGGGAGCTCCACCGAAGGCCCCAGTGGGGGTGTTCGCATGCGGTTCCCCCACCCAGGGCAGCGTTTCGTGGCCCCATAGGGAGCTCCACCGAAGGCCCCAGTGGGGGTGTTCGCATGCGGTTCCCCCACCCAGGGCAGCGTTTCGTGGCCCCATAGGGAGCTCCACCGAAGGCCCCAGGCCCACAGTGGGGGTGTTCGCCCCATGCGGTTCCCCCACCCAGGGCAGCGTTTCGTGGCCCCATAGGGAGCTCCACCGAAGGCCCCAGTGGGGGTGTTCGCATGCGGTTCCCCCACCCAGGGCAGCGTTTCGTGGCCCCATAGGGAGCTCCACCGAAGGCCCCAGTGGGGGTGTTCGCATGCGGTTCCCCCACCCAGGGCAGCGTTTCGTGGCCCCATAGGGAGCTCCACCGAAGGCCCCAGTGGGGGTGTCCACATGCGGTTCCCCCACCCAGGGCAGCGTTTCGTGGCCCCATAGGGAGCTCCACCGAAGGCCCCAGTGGGGGTGTCCACATGCGGTTCCCCCACCCAGGGCAGCGTTTCGTGGCCCCATATAGGGAGCTCCACCGAAGGCCCCAGTGGAGGTGTTTGCATGCGTCTCCCCTACCCAGAGGTGGCGCCACCGAAAACGGTATTCATATGTGCGGTATTCGCAACTGCATATGGTTGGGTCCTTCGCCAGGCTAATTCGGGCCTCGAGGTCCGTCTCGGGAACACCTGAGGCCGTTTTGAGAGCGCTCTCTGACCGTCGTGCAACCCCTCTGGGGCCCCTTTTGGGCCCTCGTGGGCGATTCGACCACGGGGTGGGGCCGTAAAGGGGCGATGTTAGCCACTTCACGGCCTGCCCTTTTGGCACGCGCTTCTGCCTGGGTCTAAGAGGGCGCTCCAGGCAGGCGAAAACCAGAGGGCCGTGTAGTGACCGGCTTGGGTCCATCTTCGGGGCGTCTTGGGAATCTCCGGAGGCGTTCTGGGGCCGTCTAGGGCCGTTTTGACGCCGTGATGGGAGGCACCTGAGGGGTCTTTGTGCGATTTTGGGTGCCTGTATGGTAGTGTCGGACGCTTTGAAGACGACGAGCAGGGGGAGAGCGCAAGTTGCCGCTTTCCTGAGGGATTGGGGCATATGTCTCCGCGTTCGAGCTCTATTGGAGCGCTGCTTCGAGCCCAGACGGGGCATCTAGGAGCTGTCTCGGACCTGTGAAAGCTATCGTGGGCGTCTTCGAGCGGAGAGGCCGTCTGGGGTCGTCTGGGAGGTATCATGGGAAGCTCCTGAGGCGGGTAGGAGGTATCCTGGGAATCGGGTGGCCGTCTTGGGCCGTCTAGGAAGCCTCAGGGCCTTCAGAGAAAGCCGCCACCGTGGGGCCGTCTGGTAAGCCTCATGGCCTTCGGCGAAATGCGCCACCGTGCCTGTGCCTGGGTAGTGGCTGAGAGGCCTCTGGGGTCCCTCTTGGAGGCAGCTTTGGGACCTCTTGGGGTCTCGTGGGGCTTGCTTTGGGCTTCTTGGGGGCCTCTGGGGACCTCTTCGCGTTCCCTTGGGGGGGGTCTTGGGGCCTTGTGTGGGCGCATGGGTGCCCAGGGCTCGGAGTGTCAGGGTTTCCCCGTTCTTTGGCCCCCTCTTGGGCCTGGCTTGGGGTCCTCTGGGGCCGGCTTGGGCGCCTCTTGGGCCATCTTGGGGCTCCCTGGGCCGTCGGGAGACGCGCTTGGAGGCCTGTTGGGCCGTCCTGGGGCGGTCTTGTGGGTCTCTTCGGCCGTCTTGGAGCGTCGGCTAGACGAGAAGGCGAGAAGGCAAAGCTCCTTCAAAACTCATTGAACAATTAAGGATCGGGGCCTCTGGGGGCATGCTTCGGAGGACTGTTGGAGGCTCTTGGGCCTTGTTGGGGGCCTCTAGGGGGCCTCTTGGGCGCTGCTTGGAGCCTCTTATGGTCACTTCGGCGCGTCTTTGGACGGAGAGCTCAATTTGTGACGCTCGGGGGCCAGGATCTTCGTGAGGGGTGTCGAAAAATGGCCCTCCAGGGGGCGCATTTATGCACATGCGCAGTTTTGCCTTTCTGGCACGCGCTGCTGTCCGCCATAGAGAAGAGAAGACTAGGGCTGACCCGCGGCCTTCTGGCCGCGGAGTCTGCCCGCCATGGTGTGGACGTGGAAATGGAGCGTCTCCGGGGCCTCGCGGGGGGGGAGGTTGGCGGGGACGGTGTGGAAGGAGGAAGTGGCCGCTGAAGGGGGAGGTGGGCGAGGGAGGCAGGCAAGCAGGCCTGAAGGCAGGAATGCATGTAGGCACAACGTGGTGCGGACAGAAGCTGTTTCTCACGCCGCGCTCTGTGTTCATCATAGCTTTTGCGGGGCGGGTCGCCGTGATAATTGCATCTGCTCTCAGCTGGGGCCGCGTGATACACGACCCAAGAGGCCCACAAAAGCGCGCCGAGACGGCCCGCACTGGGGCCGCTCAGGCGCCCGGTGCACGGGAGGATCACCGATAGCACGCTGGAGAAACTGTCAAGTAACTGTCACTTTGGTTTAGTTGGGGTGCCGTTAGGAGCCTCTCGGGGTGTCTGGACACTCTGAGGGCCTTCTTCGGGGCATGCTCGGGACATCTCTGTGGCTCCTAGTATCGGCTTCAGTGCCATTTTGGCCGCCCTCCTCGTCCTCCCCCGGTCATCCAGTCGATCTTCTTTAGGAGCCATCTCGGTGTGTCTGGACCGTCTTGGGGCCTCCTTCGGGTCATGCTCGGGACATCCTGGTGGCTTCTATCGGCGTTGGGGGCCATTTTGGGTGACCTCCTCCTCCTCCTCCCCTCGATCATTCATCCCGTCGATCTTCTCTTCAGTCGTCGACGCTCCCCAAGAGACAAGCATTCAAGGCTTCATGGGGTCCGCTTGGAAGCCTCTTTTCGTCCTCCTGGGGGTCTCTCGGGCCCTCTTAGGCCATCTTGGGTGCATCTTGTGCCGCCTTGGAGCGATCTGGGGCCGTCTTGGGCGCCTCTGGCGCAATCTTGTGGCCGTCTTGGGGCAGTCTTGGGCCGTTATTGGGGCCGACCTGACCTGGGGCTCGGTTGGGTCCCTCTTGATATGTCCGGGCGCCCTCGTGAGCGTCTCTGAGCCGTCTCGGAGCGGACCGGGGGCTCGCAGGGCGGCCTGGAGAGTCTGGCGGACATTTCAAGACAGAGGACCTTCTGGCACGCAAAGATCGCTGCATTGTAGAAGACACTAGGGCTGACCCGTGGACTACGTCCACTTGCGGGGTGAAGGGGTGCTGCTGCAAGGCGATCAGGATGAATGGCGTCATGTTTGCCTGCCACACATCGCTGAGCGAGGAGACGGAGGAGCGTCTGGACGCCCCGCCTGGGGCGCTCAAGGGCTCCCTTGGGATCGGGTCGGGCTTTGTCGGCGCGTTGGGTCCGACCTTCTCGGGGCCTTCTGGGGCCGTCTGGGGGCCCTCTGAGGGGCCCCAAGATCACCAACACGCCTCCAAGATGGCTCCACCGCGCCCGACCGACGCCGACCGGCTCCCAGATGGACCTAGAATCCCGCCCGACGCGCCCTCGGCGGCCACGCGCGCTTCCGGGGGCCGGCCGAAGCGGTTCTGGGCCACCAGAAGAGTGAAACACGGCATAGCCCCAAGAGGCCGCGGAGAGGGCTCCAGACCGACAAAAAGGGAAATGGATTTTGAAACCAAATCCGGCATGGAGCGCCAAAGAAGCATCAGAGGCCCATGGTGCGCTGGAAGCCGTTTTGGGACCGTCTGCGGCCGTCTTAGGCCGTCTTTGGCTGCTGCTGGTTCTGTCGTCGGTGCTTCTTGGGCCGTGATCTTGGGGCCCCTGGGGGTCGTTTTGGAGCCTCTCAACGCTTCTTTTCGGCCTCCTGGAAGCCTCCTGGGCTTGGGTTGTCTCGGGTGCCTCTTGGGCCGTGTGGAGGCGGTCCGGGGCCGTCTGAAGGTTGTCTGGGGCCGTCTTGGACGTCGCTGGAGCAGTCTGGGCACCGTCTGGGGGTCGTCCTGGGCCGCTCTTGAAGCTGTCTTGGGTGCCCCGTGGGCCGCCAGGGGCGCCTCAGGAGCCGTCCTAGGGCCATCTTGGGCCTCTGTATGGCCGTCAAGAAGGCAAGCCAGGGAACTGTCAAACTGTACGCTTTCCCACGTGAATGGGACGATTTGTCAATGTTCGGGCTCTCTTGGGGCTCGTCGTGGAGCACTTGGAGCGTTTTGGAAGGCTCTTGGGCCGCCTGCGGGCCATCTGAGGCGTTCTCGGGGCCGTCTGGGGGTTGCCTGGGTCCGCCTTAAGCGTCTCTGGAGCAGTCTGGGCACCGTCGGGGGGTCGTCTTGGGCCGTCCTGGGCCGCTCTTGAGGCTGTCTTGGGTACCCCGTGGGCCGCCAGGGGCGTCTCAGGAGCCGTCCTGGGGTCGCCGTGGGCGGCCTCGGGGCCCTCATGGGGGCATCTCAGGGCGATCTTGGGACCCTCTACGGCCGTCGTGGACGCGTCGGAAACGAAAAGCACGATACTCCCCCAAAGACGCGTTTTCCGAAGGGACTTGGAAGATTTGGGCCTCTTGGGGCTCTCCTAGCAGGTTCTCCAGGGCCATCTTGGGAGCCTCCTGGCCTGCCTTGGGAGCTTCTGGGGCCGTCGAGGCGGCCCTCTTGGGGCCGCCATGGGCGCCTGAGGAGCCGTCCTGGCGCCCTCCTGGCAACCTCCTGAGGAGTCTTGGGACGATCTTGAGGGCCTGTGTGACCGTCTTCGACGCTTCGAAGACGAAAAGCACGGGAACTCCCGAAATACACGTATGTCCTAGGGATGGGGACGATGTTTCGCTCTCCTGGGGCTCTCTCTGGAGCCCACTTGGAGCATTTTGGCGCCTCTTGGACTGTCGGGCGTCTCTCTTGGGCGTCTTCGAGCGCTTGGGGCCTGTCTCGGAGGCCCTCTTGGAACGTCCTCGGCAATTTTTAAACACTTTTCGGGGCCTCCAAGGGGGCCCCAGGACGCCGCCGGACGCGGGCCACCCTTCTGCCGCGAGAGGTAGTAATGGGGACGATTTGTCCTTGTTCTGGCTCTCCTGGGGCTCTCTCTGGAGCCCACTTGGAGCATTTTGGGGGCCTCTTGGGCTGTCGGGCGGCTGTCTTGGGCGTCTTGGAGCGCTCCGGGCTCGTCTCGGAGGCCCTCTTATCAAATTGTGTCTGTGTGTTTCTTTCCCTCCTGATCTTAGACCGTCTTCGGCCGTCTTCGAACCCTCCTGGGGGCCTCCGGGGGCGGCTCGGAGCGCCCTCAAGCCACCTGGGATGCGCGGCGGGGCCCCCGGGCCGCGCTGGCGGCCGCCGGAGGGGGCCGGTCCACGGCCACTGCTCGCCCATTTGGCTAGCGGTGAACGCTGCATTGTAGTAGAGATGACTTCGGGTTCCAGCTTCGCCTCCACCATTTCGCTCAGCAGCGCCAGGGCCGCTGCCACTGCTCGCCCGTCTCGCACGCGCTGATTCCAGCGCTGTAGCTGACTAGTGTGAACCCGGGGAATAAATCCACGGTGTGCTGAAACTGGGGCTCGCACACCATGGGTGCACAACTCGTCGAAGTTGAACAGCTCGGGCGTCCCTGAGGCTGTGTCAGGGGCATATTGGGCCCTTCTGCGAGCCAGACTGGGGCGTCTTGAAGGCCTCCTGCGGTTTTTGTGCGCCTATGAAGCCGTTTCCGTGCTGTCCCCCAGAGCCTCTTCTGGGGAACAGCGCGGGAAACTCATCGTCCGTGCGTGCTGTGAGGTTGCTGTCAGAAAGGCCCCCCTGTCACACATGAGGTTAGCTGCAGGGTTTGCTTCAGGCTCCCGGAGCGGGGTTTGGAGGCTGTCTTCGAATGTCCTGGGAGGGTCCGCGCCATCTCGGAGTGGTCCAGGGAGGGATCTCGTGGTTTTGCGGTTGTGTTGGGGGCCACCGATGGCTCGACTCGGCGAGATGCTGGTCCCCGTAGTGTCTGCAGGCCCTCCCCCCGTGTTTGCCCCATTCGGCCGTAGAGAGGAAACGACCGAAGCGGCTGCAGGTCCCCCCAGTCACCCCTAACAGGCGGAGTGGAGTTCCTAGAGTGGCCATAGCTTTGTTGAGGGAAGGGGGACGAGATCAGAGGATAAAGGCCCCCTGTCACCCCTAATCGGCCGTAGGGGGGGAGGTCTCGAGGGTGACCCTGGGACATCTCGGAATGGTCCCGGGATCGTCCTAAGGAGCTTCGCGGGAACTATGGGAGTCTCCTCGTGGGACCGCTCTTCAGCAGCGCCAGCGCTCACTAACTCTGCTCGCCCTTCTCGCACGCGCTGATACCGGCGCTGTAGCTGACTAGGGTTATGTCGGGCGTGTCCCCCTACAGGGGGATTTTCGACGATTCAAAAAACCCAAAAGCCCCCAAAAGGCAAAACAATATTAAAATTAGCCTGACGAAGGACCCAACCATATGCAGGTGTGAGTACCGCAATTGTGATTCCCTTTTTCGGTGGTGATCCCTATGAGGCAACGGACCGTGCTAGGGGTGTGCCGAAATGAGCGGCGTGGTACACGACGCGAACGAAAACGATTGATCTGAGTACGTAGGGAGAGACTGAGCGCGGGTTAATCTGAGCGCGAGTGCGTCTGTGTGAATGAATCTGCGTGCGAGCGAGTCTACGTGCATGAATGCGAGTATGCCAATGCATGGTGCATTTGTATATGAATGCAAATAGTTTGTGAGTGACTTCCCCTGAGTACTCGTGACGCTGGGCGTGGCCGCCGCAAGGAGCTTCCCCGGGGCTCCCCGACGGCATCGCCCGCGCGCCGCGACGCCACCGCGAGGATCGCGCCTGCTTCCTCCCCTTCTTTTACTCCCTCTTTGCCCGCGCACTCAAAAGTCCAAAGCTGCGGGCGCAGCGCAGCGCGGACTCCCAGCGACGCGCGCACGTCGCCCCGGAGGGGTCCCAGCGACGCGCGCGGGTCGTCCGCTGCGCGCAGCAAAAAGAGCTAGCTGGCTGGCTGATAGCGGGCAAGGCTCTTGCTGCTGGACAGAGCGACGACGGGCGAGCGAGGCGCGGAACTCCGACGGCCGCCGGCGGAGGTGTACTGTGTGGGAGAGACGCAAGCGGACTGCGCAACGGGGACCTTCGGTGGAGCTCCCTATGGGGCCACGAAGCGTGTGAGGGGTGTGCCGAAATGGGTGTGCGGGACGCATGCGGGCACACCCACTAGGACCTTCGGTTGGGCTCTCTATGGGGCCACGAAGCGTGTAAGGGGTGGGCCGAAATGTGTGTGCGGGACGCATGCGGGCACACCCACTGAGACCTTCGGTGGAGCTCCCTATGGGGCCACGAAACGTGCGAGGGGTGTGCCGAAATGGGTGTGCGGGACGCATGCGGGCACACCCACTGGGACCTCCCTGAGGGATCTCTATGGGGCCGCCGAACGTGTGAGGGATGTGCCGAAATGGGTGTGCGGGACGCATGCGGGCACACCCACTGGGACCTTCGGTGGAGCTCCCTATGGGGCCACGAAACGTGTGAGGGG